AGGGAAAGAAAAGGAGAGAGGTTCAGGGGTTGGAGTGGGGGGCAGGGGAGCCTGACCGTAATGTGTTCTCATAGAAGCCAGTGGGAGAAGGGACAAGTGACACAGTGCCACATGCTTCAGAAAGGTTGTGTCCTGGGCAAAGACTGGTGACTTTGCCTATGAAGAGATCACTAGAAGCCTCTGGTTGAATACAGTAAGTAGAGAAGTGGAGGGGGCAGCCAGATGTACCCTTTCAATCGTTAGTGCTCTTCCTCGTCCCCCTTTCCCACCTCCTTTCTAAAGGTATCAAGCTCATAACAGGGTGAGCTCCCTGTGACAGATTTCTGAGAATGAACCCCGCCCCCGTGATTAGCATAAAAGGAATAGGCGATCAATTAACCCCAAAGTGACAGGACTGAACTATTTCAAGGTAACCATACATAACTTTTTAAAAATCAAGAAAGGCATGAAATTCAAATGAGAGATGGCCAGTTCACAGACTAGTCATCAAATCAACATTTTCAATATCTTGCCAGCCCCATCTTTCTTCAACATCTTCATGCCAGAATTCACATTTCCTATTTCTGTTAATAGGAACAGAGGCACATGGCTTCACAGAGATAGGGACTGGAGAGTTAGGAAGGAAAAGGGGAGAACCAAATGCAAATACATGTTTATAATTTATTAATTAACCTCTCCCTTCAGTCCTGAACAGCTGACCCAATTTGAGCTGGTGAGGCAGGTCCTCCAGGCTCAGGTCGCTGACAGCTTTGATTAGGGATGGATGAGTGAGCTGTGGTACCCAAAGGTGTGAAGCACTGAAAGGCATGTCGGAACATCAGAGCAAGTGCATCTGCTCAGCGCCTCTCCTTTTCCCAGGCTACCCAGCAAAAGGTGGACTTGGTAAGTTAAAATCCAGTGTTGTCTCTTTCTCCACTTTTTCCTTATGATGTAATGCACTGTCATTCCTATGTTCTTCCACACCTCCAGTCCCACCATTCTCAGCTCATCACCCCCAGTCAGAAGACTTCCACTCCCCAAAATACAGAATATGTAACACAGAAGGTAAGAGAGCAATAAATATCCCCCAAATTTCACATTAAATAAAATTTCAAGCTATTCACCAATCCTCTCCCCTTTCTCATCTGTCATCCTTCCCTCCCTGAATTCAGTTATTCCCAAGTGATGAAACATCGGCACTTCATTTCACATCTTTCCTGTCCCTTCAATACAGTTACCGGAGGGGATCTTAGAATACCCTGATTTAAGTAAAATATATCTTCCCAACACTGCACAACCACATTCAGAACCCCCCATTCCTGCTAGAAACAGTAGACCATAATGGGTAAGGCTCATCCTGGATTTAGAGGGAGGCAAGGCCAACTCAGAACGATCCCCAACCACCGAGTATGAAGTACATTGAAGGAAAATGGTAGCATTGGCTTTTTATTTTTATTTTCTTTTAGTTTTTGTTTAAAACACCGTTAAAATCTGGACTATATTCATCAGAATCAACAATTCCCCTTGTATACATGAATATTTCAGAAGGCAGATTGATAGTTATAATGATAAAAATAAAATGATCTCTACCTTTACTTCTACCTACAGAAAGGAACGTCCAGTTATGTAGAGGAAGCATGGTGTCCACCATGGAGGCGGCAAGAGAGAGAGAGAGAGCAGGGAGAGTAAAACATCAGCACACTGCAGACACACAAAGAAATGTAACGCACATAACAAAACCCACAATAGTAATGGCAACAGCAGTACGATCTTGAGAAGGCAGCACAAAACAAATGCACAATGTTTTGCTTAAACAGTGTGACCAGCAAGGCTGCTTCCATCAGCTTCACGCTTAAGCTTTTTCCCATTAGCTTATTCTCAGTCCCATCCTTAGAAACATGACCAAATCTGCATGCAAAAGCACTGCATAGCCACATGTATGTGAAACTGCACACAATTAACCAATGTAAAATCGTTTAGGGAAAGTTTCAGAGAATCTAAGTTCTCCTGTATTTTCTCAACATTAATATGAGTCATGAGGATCAAGAGTATGACATACATGTATAGGTGGTACACACACAACATACATCAGTATTTCCACACATATTTATGGGCATCAAAAACAAATTCTGGAGATTCAGCAAGAACCAGACGGAAAGCTCTTTCTTTCATGTTGAAGGAATAAGGAGAAGGCAAGGAGTATTGGCTTTTTAGGTAATCATCACAAGGGCAAAGCGGTGGGAAATGGAAAAGAATGAGAGGAGGAGGAATGGGGTCAAAGGACCTTCTTGAAACCAATTAAACAGCAAATTGCACCTTCAAATCTTAGTGACACTGACCACCCAGAAGAATTCTGCATCCTTTTTTGAAAACCTCTCTAAAGAGGGATTCACAATATCCGTGTCTGTCATTATTTCATTGCCTAAAGACTGTTTTTCTAGAAGATTCCTGACTCACCCCCCCAGAGCATGTGTACATAGTATGTCTGAATTCTCTACTCATGTACACTTCAATGTTGAGTGCTCATCAGTGGGTCTGAAATAAACCGAATCAAGATTAAAGAAGTCCCCACCAGCCTATCTCATCTACCTAGACTCTATGCTATGACACCAGCCATACGATACACTCAAACTTCCAAGCCATTGTAAAAGCTAGAACTCCTAGAGCATAAGATGAGAGAATGTAGAAGGGCATCTTGTCATCAGGACTCTGAGGGCCTGCTTTTTCTGGTGGAACTTGTTATCAAGGTCGGGCCACCAAATTCCAGCAATTCATAGAGCCTGGGTCTTGCCACTCTGTAGAGATACGCATAACCCTCTCAAACTACCTGGATACTAAGTCGACATAAAGAGCACGCCCTACTCATATTCACTTCATAGTAACCTGCTGTAGGGGGATAACTTCTCTCACTCACCTACAAGAATAGAGAGACTTCATCCCAACCTCTTCCAGAGCGCCATCTAACACTGGAAAACTCACCTGACCCCCTCCGTCCAGCTCTGTTCTTTGACATCTGCTCCTATACCAGACCATGTGTTCACTGAAAGGTCCAGAGTCCACATCATGGATCTTGGCTCAGGTCTGGAGGACATAATTCTGTTGGTAAAGTGTGCTTCCTCTTTGTCCTGCCTTATCAAGTCAGGATGCCCTCAATTGCCCACCTCCGCAGCTACCTGGACACCATAAGCAAACTTCCCTCAGACCTGGGTTGTTCCTTGATCTGATCATATACTCCCCTTTATGGCAACACTGTCTGATGGATCCAGTGTAAGGAAATGTGTGTGTGTGTGGGGTGGGGGGTCGGGGGGGTGTCCTTCCGTGCTGCCCCACCCTACTCAAAAGATCAAGAAAAAACAGCAGAACATGGAAATACCTCTCCTTTCCCTTTTCTTTGGTCCTCCAAAAAGAGGCACTGAGTCCCATGTGTATTTTGAAAAAGACAAGAGAAATTAAAGTACAGTCTTTTGGTGTCAGGGCATGGCAGGTAGACCCGTCTGGCAATCATTCCAAAGCGCAGAAGAAACACAATAGCAGCAATTGAACGGTGAAGAAAAAGACAATTTTAAGTAGGCTCAGTTCTTGAATCCTGATTTAGGCTGATAATATGGAAAATTTTTATTTAGGAGAAAAAGGCTTCATTCACAGCCCACCCTGTGCTTAGCTGAGCTGAATTTCCTGCACAGTTCATTTCCTGCATAATTGAATATTTTAGGTTGCAGATGCTGAATTTACAGATCTTTATATGCAGTTTTCTTCAGGGTGTATAATGAGTTAGAATCCTGCCATGAGGACATTAGCATGTTCTTTCGGTGGTTTTTGCTTTTACACAAAACTGAAAACAGTCAAACCCCCAAGGGTTCCCTTTGACCATTCGGGGCTCTGGGGCTAAAGGTCATTACAATGGGCAGTGGGATGGAGGGGAAGACAATAAGCAAACCTTTACTCAGAGTGAAATTCAGAGAAGCCCAGCTCCTCTCGCCCAACCCGGGGCCCCAGCATGGGGCTTAGGGAAGAAGTTAACCGCTCTGTTGCTCTGAAATTAGCTTCATTCACCCCCATTATCGACACCGTCATGGCTTGTTTCATGCTTCCCTCTTGGAGGCAGCCCGGCAGAGCCAGTGCCAGGATGACAAATGATGGTGCATAATGAAGCCAAGGGGGTGATGGGGGCAGGAAGCCACGATGCATTGGGAAAGGTGCCCCCCACCGCAGGATGGCCCTGCTGCCGGCCTGGCCCATGGCAGGAGAGACAGGCAGCAAATGGCCTGCCAGGGATGATGAGGCTCTGAGCGACCAGCCAGAGGCACGAAGGCAAGCAATTCAGGCAGCTGCAGCACCACAAGCACAGAGCACCTACCTTGTTCGCTCATCATGAGGTGGGAGAGGCCTTGAGGAGGGAAGAGAGGGGAGGAGTCGGGGGGTGGAGGGGGAAGGGGAAGGATAAAAGAGAGGAGGCAGAGTTAGAATCCCAAACGCCAGGCAATCTTCCCTTAATTCTTGAGTGGAAGGAGTGGCAGGGGCATCCACACATACTGAGGAGCGTGCAACGAGCACTGAAATGCAGGGCAGAACGTCCCGGGCCCTCCAGTTCAAGGTCAGTCTTTTGTTTGCTGAACCTCTGGGCCACATCATGAGAACTTTCCTTTCACCATTGTTTCTATGCAATAGGTAGGATCTGAGATAAATCTATTAAAGATTAGGTCCCCTAGGAAAGAGACTCCAGGTGCTGGGCAAAGTAGGTTTCTTTCTTTCTTTTAAATTGTTTTTAATAATAATACACGGTCACTGTAGAAACTTTGGAAAATTCAGAAAAGAAAAAAGAAAAAAATCAGCTGTAATCCCACATCCAGAGATTACCATCCAACTTTTCTTTCCCCCTAGATACAGTAGTTGCTTCTACAAAAATTGGACCACACTGAACATACAAAATGAGTTCCTGCGGGACTTCCCCGGTGGTCCAGTGGGTAAGGCTCCACGCTCCCAATGCAAGGGGCCCAGGTTCAGTCCCTGGCCGGGGAACTAGATCCCGCATGCATGCCACAACTAAGAGTTCCCATGCTGCAACTAGAGATCCCGTATGCTGCAACTAAGACCCAGCACAGCCTAAATAAATAAATAAATGATAAATGATAAATAAATAAATATTTTTTTAAACAATGAGTTCCTGCGTTCAAGAGTTAGACAACCTGAAACTATCTTCATATGATCCTTGCCTTCACCCAGTGACAACCACACCCCTTACCTCTGTCCCTGCTCCACCGCCAACTTTTCCTAGAAAGTCCCTCACCTTTGATCACAGAGGCCTAGCCAAGCACTGAATGGATTAAAGAAGGTACACGGAGGCCCAATAAACAAGTAGCAGAACCTCTCACTATGTTCTTGTGGAAGTCAAACAAGGCTCTTAAGAGCTCATTACTTCAAGGGAAGCATAAGTCCTGATACATCTATTAAAAGAAAAGATTTCCAACCTGTAGCCAACCGTGATGGCTATTTGCTCTTCCATTGCTTTTATTACTACCGGAGTTACTTGGAGATCACCCCAGAGTGATCTCAACTTTACCCAGAGCAAAATTCAGGGATATAGGAGATTAATAAAGGAGAAAAATCTCTAAAGTATGGAAATCTGTAAATGTTTTTGGAGATAACTAGAGATTTAGAGAAGTAATCAAAGACAAAATATGGGTCAAGCAAACTGACTTGTTAAAGATCAATGATATATTAAATACATAGATACATGTGCCATAAATGTCAGTCACTTTTTCTAAACAAATTTCATTAAACTATTATTATATTTTAAATGTATATTTCTGGCATTCATCTCTCAAGGCCTAGGATATTAATACTCATGGAGGAAGGGAATCACGCCAAAGCAAGTCATTCTCATAATTTGTTTTATTTAAAAAATTAAGTTTTGGTATTTAAGGGGTATTTGGAGGGGATAAGAAGAAGAAAGAACAAAGGCACTAGATTTGACTAAGAGAAACCTCCGCAGAAGTAACTATTCATAAAATGCCTGATATTTCTGGACCAAGCCACAGCCTTCAGCATCCAGATCAAGCACACTAAGAGGGAGGGTCTGGGGAAGGCAGGTGGTGTAGGTGAAGGGGGAACGGGTACAGAATAGGTGTGTGAATTCATAGGAGGGCTGTCAGCATTAAGAAATGAGAATAAGGAAGATCCAAAGAGATCCCTAAGAGCAAAACGGAGGTTAAAAATAAAAGGACAATAGTAATATATTGTGTACTTGAAATGTAAATGCTCAGAGAGTAGACCTTAAATGTCTTCACCATAAAAAGGAAATGGTAACTATGTGATGACATGAAGGTGTTTCATAAGAGTGTATCTAATCAACACATTATATACTTCAAACTTACACAATGTTATATGTCAGTTATCTCAGTAGAGCTGGGGGCTTTATTGAGATAACCGTCCTTTCATTTTTTAAATGAAAGGACAAACATTTTCATACCTCCAATTAAAGATGTTTGGCAGCTGGGAGGTGTGAGTACAAGAGAGGCAGAAGAGTAAACAAAAATTTGCCAAATGAAGAGGAAACGGGACACTTGGTATTCAGAGGGTGTTCAAAGCCCTGGAGAAGCCCCTACAGTTGGGCCCATTTATGTACTACCTGTGTTTCTTTGAAGCTGTGTTTCCCAAAACACAATTCACTGACCACCTGCGTCAGCCGCCTGAGGATACTTATCAACAGTGAAGAGCCTGGGCCCCACCCAAGTCCTAATGAATTAGAATCTTGGGGAGGAGTTGGGGAAAGATCTGAATTTTAAATAAGTCGCACTAGTGATTCTTGTGCTCACTAGAACTTGAGAGCTACCCCTTTAGAGTGACATATAAATCAAATTTTGGTAAATTAAGTTGCATGATAAATGCACTAAGAGGAATTGGATATATAATGGAACCCTGCAGTGGAAACTTTTGTAGAAGGAAGAATCCTGTTAAAATGCAAATATCCACCACCTGTGTTTTAAAATTTAAATATGTACTTGTCAGGTTTTATTAAGCCACATATGTAGTTGCACTATTGTGACTCAAATAAAATGTACATATTCTTCAACTTACAGAAAATCTTAAATAGAAATATCAGGACAGGAATGCAAATCTGAGATCCTGGTGTCAAAACTTCGGTTTTGTAGGCAACAAAGCAAAACAGACATAAACAAGTATAACAGGAAATAACACGAGAGAGGGGAGAAACTGTGTAAATGTAATATGGTTTGAGTTTGAATTTTTGCACTTTCATGAGCTTTTACATTAGTATCTTCTCTTATACAAACCTACCCCCTAAGCTTGCAGAGTTAAGAACTGGAAACCAGGAATTCCAGAGGGTCTAGGTCTATTCTGAAATTCTGTTTCTCTCCCCTTCCACCCCAAAACCCTCCTACTTGCTGCAAAAAGACCTCAGGTCCCCCCAAAAGTGAATGGAAGAAACAAGAATCAAACAAATGATTCAAGTACCTACCATATGTAAAGGCTGCATAAGGTAGCGGGATGCAAACAAGTATGGTACATAGTTGTCAACCTCGAAGAGTTTAGAGTCTAGTTGGGAAGGTGTGTGTGTGTGTGTGTGTGTGTGTGTGTTTATATTTACACAAACATACATATGATATATATATATATATATATATATATATATATATATGTTTTTTTTTTGGCTGTGCTGCCCAATATATATATATATATATATATATAGTGGTACCTGACAGTGAAGGGTAGGGGTTAAGATCAAGGACTTCAGAGCCAGATTTGAATCCCACCTTTGTTACTTTCTAGTTTGTGACCCTAGGAAAATTGCTAAACATCTCGGTGCCTTGACTTCCCATCTGTAAAATTTGGAAAATTATCATGCCAAATTCATAGGTTGTTTTGAGGATTAAATAAATGAATATATGTAAAGCAGTGCCTGTACATGGTAAGGACTATATAAGGGTTATTGTTTTTTTAATTTATGCTATAAAAATATACCGATGTGTGAGGCAACACGAAGCATAGTGCCTGACACACGGTAGGTGTTCCGTATGTATTTGGTGAGTGAATGAGGAATGAATGGTGGGTAACTGGTAAGTGTCAAATGATTAATTCAGACAATAAGGACGGTAGGACAGTGAGGAGGGCCCCTGGGTGTGCAGCAGATGTTTCTGGAGGAAAGTGGGATTTACAATATGCCTTGGAAGACGGTTTAGGATGAACAGCGACGGAGGACGTGCCAGGTTAACACCACTACCTCCCAAGACCACCAATTGCATTTATAAGGACTTTCATGTCAACTTTCTGGAACACCCAGGACACTGCCAGGCACATGGTAGGTATGTAATGCGTGCTGTACGAATAACAATGAACACATACAAACGGTTCATCTGAGGAAGAAGTGAAAGGTGATCTTAAGGATCAAAGTATGGAACCGTTGTATGAAGGCCTTGAGTTCCCAGGCTAAGGAAAAGGGACTTGATCCTGCAGCTGATGGGAGACACTGAGGGCTTGTGGGCAGGAGAATGACCCAGGGAAAATGATGTTGAGGAAGATTGCTTTGGCAATGGTGTGGACAGGATGGATTAGAGGGAAAAGAGAGGCAGAAAGATCTGTCATAGGCAGAGGGCCTAAATTAGTATGGTGGCAGCAGGAAGGAAAAGGGAAAAAGAGGATGCAACAGGCTTTGGGTGACCGATGAGACGCTTCGGGGGAAGAACGGATGGGAGACTGAGTGAAGCATTGTCAGAAATAGGAAGGTGGGATGGAGTTGGGAGATGGATTTGGAATGAGGGCGATAATGAGTTCTGTTTTAGGCATGATAAGTTGAAGAAACAGAAGAATCACTCAAGCAAAATGTCTAAGGTGCATTTAACAGTATGGGACTAAGGTCTGCAAGAAAGTCAGGACAAATATGAAAGTGTATCACCTCCACTTCATGAAAGAGAGGGTCTGTGCCCATGTAAGTGAATGAATCCTCAAAGTAAAAGGGGCCAGAGCACTGAGTCTTAACCTGGGAGGGATGGGGGATATTAAGATATCCTGGAGGTTCTTTTCTTTACATGCATATTCAACATTAAAGTAAAATCTTACATTCAAAAAGAAAAAGGAACTATATGGCTTTCCAATATAGATACAGAAAAATAATGCTCAAAAAAAATCTTAACTGAGAAGGATATAATTAGCAAGGAAGGAAAAGCGATCTATGCTGGCTGTGTGTTACGTGTGTGGTTGATGAGGAAAGCGGGGTGGGGGGAGGGGAATGAAGATCACCCTTCTTGTCAATTTCAGAAACAGAGGGTCAGCAGCAGCCCCCCAGACCACACAGCCAGCCTTGGGACTAGCACCTGGCTGGGTTTGCAGTTTGGCATTTAATCTGAACCTGATGTTCAGGGCTGCTAAAAG